TTCCAGTGTATCAATTTCCATTAACGAATTAACTAATCTATGGGCTCCGACATGACTCCAGATTCGACTCAGTCTTTCACTTTACGTGCACAGAGAAGCATAACAGAACAACCTCACATCTTCAGTCTCAGATCAAAAGTGTCTTTATTATGGACAAGTTTCAAGTTATATACAGATTATCTACAGGGAATCTATGTGTACATGTGGCTGCTTCTTATTTACATACGTGTACATGTGGCTGCTACTTATTTACATACTAATTGTTGTGCAATATTAACAGGTGATATGCATCTGTCTCAAGCATAGGCCTACCTATGGGCCTTTACAGAAAATAATATTTAAATGTATACAGGACAGACGCAAATTAGATAATAACATGTTGATTAACTATGACTACACAATGTGGAATTTATGCAGGATTCCACACTTGGTTGTGAGGCTATGGGGTGCTGTACCGGTCGCCGCCTGGCTGCGGACTTTGCCTTTCCACACAGAGCGCACTGTGTTAAAGAAACTGGATTTCCCCGCCCCCACACTGCCCACCAGGAGGAGCCGTACGGCGGGCACTTTGGCCGGGCTTGGAGTGGAGAACGACACCAATTCATCAAAAAGTTTGTCTTTAGTCTGAGAAAAAAAAAGTAAAAAACAGTTAAACAGCTACACAGAACCCCCAAATGTGCCTTTTTTTAATGTTAATTTTTTTGTGGGTGTTCCTGCTTGCTATCGTTCCCTGAATCAACATTACAAAAGTGTAGGTGACGCCACGGTGGCAGAATGCAGAGCTCTACGTGGTGCCATCTTTGGTCTACAAGAGTCAATAGTGCTAAAGATACTATAAATTTGATAAATAATTGAGCCTGCCTCAAAAAGAAACAAACAAACAAGCAAGCAAAAAAAAAAAAAAAGTAAAGAAAAATTCCTACGGAATTTGATAAATAATTTATCTTATTAACACAAAAACGGTGGAGTATACTACAACAATAAGTAAGAATGAAGGTTTCTTAAAGTCATAACATTACTTATTACATTTTTCATTGAGGTATGTCAAAGAGCTACATGTACCTTATTATTCCAGTCGTTAATGTCAGTTTTGCGCCACGGTTTATCTTTCTCATATAATTCATCTTCCAGATTTCCCTCTGTAAAAGAATAACGATAATTTCAGATAAATTACCTGTAGAGAAATGCCTAATGTTGTGAAAAATATGTATTACATGTAGTTGGGCCGTAAAAAAGTACCATATCTGTTTATATCATGTGATATTGAGAGGAAGTATAGGTATTCATTGTCGCTTAATAAAATGCACATATAATAGTTTCAACGTTTTATACTTTACAAACACTCACTTAAAAACTTCGCAATTTTGTTCACTTTCACTCATTGATGAGAAAATAATCATTCGAAACTAGGATTGAAATCAAACATTGGCTATTATACAGTTGTCAAGAACAATGGCACTTACGTTTTACGGCGTACACTTCAATGTCGAGATAGGCGTTGTTGTTGCCAGTAAATGTTTGGGCGTTGTAACCATTGGCATTATAAGTGCTACCGATCTGACAGTAACCATTTGTGTTGAAATAAGCACCAGATTTATTGTACGAATTATAAAAGAACAACAGATCGTGACCACCTCCAAACGTGGGGCCATAGTTGGCGTTGTCATAAACACCATTCACGTTCCCATTGGGAACAAACTTTACCATGTTTGGTAAGAACTGGAACAAAAATGCACGGTCATCATTAAAATAATTTCCGCGTGATGTCCACGCGATGCTTGTGTATCCCCCTATGACGTAGCCAGCGCTGTTCTGACCAACAGAAACAGTCGGACCTTGGTTGTTGCACTTCGCATGGAAAGCCTGACCATTGCAGCCGTCTCTGGTGGCGCTGTACAGGAGGTCAAAGGTCAAGGCCGGGTCACCAATCCACGTACGGAGTTGTTTCCGGTACGCCTTGTTATCAAGTATCGGCATTGCGGCTAGTGGGCTGAAACAAAAGTTATAATGTGTATTCTAATAGTTAATAAACAATAATAGGTACAGTATCAATGGTGGACCCAGGGCCTTTCTGGGAAGGGGGGGGGTGATGTCGACGAGGCAATTTGACCACATTGCATGCGAGGCGCTTGAGAACGAATCGCTAGGTTCTGCCACGTTTTACTCATCTTATTATGGTTTGGTTGGGGAGGGAAAAATAGGAGAGAAGAGATATCAGAAAAACTAACACTGTGACCCCCTCTCCCACTGTGCCCCACTTTGTCCTTCAGTCAACATGCCCTCCCTGCTGTGCTATCCTCACTGTGCCCCTCCCCCACTGCGTCCCCCTCCCCCCACTGTGCCCCCCTTCACCCACTGTGTCTTCCTAGCCTCACTGTGTCCCCTTATCCCCTAGCTCTGTGTCCCCCCTACCCCCACCGTGCCCCCCTACCCCCACTGTGTCCCCC